GAGCAGGGCCGATCAAGGGGTTTGGTGCCGCCTCCCCTGTCACACCAAGAAGCCGCAGGGCGATCAGGGGGTTTTGGGCGCTGCCCCGTCACGTTGATCCTGGTGCCGGGAGGGCTGGCGGCTCCGCTGATCCCGGTGCTAGGAGGCATATTACCCTTTACGATATAGGATAGAGGCCTGGTGCACAGGTGGGGGCCGGCTGGTTTGCCCTGAAGGGTGTCCTGGATCAGTGTGGAGGTCCCGCTTGGGTGCCTGGCCAGCCTGGGTGAGGGGATGATGGCTGTTTGCATCTGGTCACACCCCCTTCAAGGTGGGGTTCCCCACTGGGGTGCCTGGCCAGCCTGGGTGAGGGGCTGAGGGCCGTTTTCAGGCTGGTGGGTGACTGAAGCTCCCAACCTGTCCTTTTTTCCTTTTTTTTTTAATTCTGGGCCAGCTTTAGCTCTGAGGCTCGGCTCCAGCTATGAGACCTCCGCTGCTGAAAACAGGTTTCTGGCCTTTGTTTACCTTCTGTATTTGAAACAATGTTTCGGTCCTGCTGGCTGAAGCCCGGGGTTTTGTTTAGCTTCTATATTTGTTACAATGTTGCTTAGAGTGCAGCTGAGAGGCCGGCAAGGCAGGCGGGGAAGTTTGGCTTCCTCCATCACTGAAGCAAGCAAGCCTCCCTGTTCGCGTCAGCTGCCTGGCTGCCGGCCGCCATCTTGGTTGGCAGTTAATTTGCATATCTCACTGATTAGCCAATGGGAAGGGTATCGGCCGTACGGCTAATTACCATGTTTCTCTTTTATTAGATAGGATAACACTTATTCCGTTCCGAGGATTATACTAAACATTTATTGAGCACTTACTGTGTGGCGAGTCCTTTTATAAGGAATATTTCCCATCATCCTCACTTTCACCATTTTGCAGATGGGAAAACAGGCTTGGCCAGGTGAAATGACTTGCCCAGGGTTACCCAGGGAGCCAGTCTCAGTAGGACTTGCATCTGAGTAATCTGCACCCTAACTTGCTGCAGTACTCTGTCTCTAGTTAGTTACACAATTTCATGACATTCTCCTGAGCTTACTCACTCTTAGTGAAGCAGAATTATTAACCAAGCAGCATGCCAAAGATCTGGTGAATTCAGATATATACACAATAGTCTCTGTCCACAAGGAACGCTAATGAAAAAAAAGTGAAATAATATTAGTACAACATGGAAGGTGATACAGGTATGTTCTTCCATGAACAGGATGTGTTTAAAAATTTTTTCTGAGTTAATTTGGAATGTGAACACATTTTACCATCGGAACAATGTTGGCTGACATTTAGATTAATCAAAAATGTACTTTACTAGTATGGCACATTACTGATTCTGTGAACTGTATTTACTCTCTGTAACCTTGTTTTCATAGGACCTGTATTCTGAATTCCCAGTCAGGATGACAGGAATACATCTTTTTCTTTCTTTCTTTTTAAAAATATGTTTTAATTGACTTTAGAGAGAGAGGAAGGGAGAGGGAGAGGGAGAGGGAGATAGAAACATTGATGACAGAGAAACATCAACCTGCTGTCTCCTGGGGATCGAGTCTGCAATCCGGGCATGCACCCTGACTGGGAATTGATCTGGTGACTTCTTGGTTCATGGGTCCACGCTCAACCACTGAGCCACACCAGCCGGACTGAATACATCTTTTTTCCCATTTTCTTCCCTTGACAATGTCAGTGGGGGCAAGGGCTGAATTGGACTGGAGTGAGATGAGTGTTTTCCGTCCCCAGACACATACGCTGGAAGACTCTAAGAGGCTTCTAGTCTAACTTCTCATCTGACATTCAGTTTGCCCTACATTGTTACTGCCAGTGGGTTGTCCGGTCTGTGGTTTTTCATCCCCAGTGATGGGAAACACTTCCTATGAGCAGCCATTCCACATTTGTACTGGTCTGATTTTTAAAAGTTCTTATTTTGAGCTGAAGTCAGCCTTTCTCTACTTTTAACCATACATTCTTCCATTTCTCTTCACTTTACATGAATAATCTCTCCTTTTAAACTACCCTTCTCACCTTTTCCCCCACCTGTTCCTCCCACTCCCAACACCTTCCCCAGTTCCTTCAACTAGTTATTATATAATTTCAGGTTTCTTCATTATTTTTATCACTCTCTTCTGCACACAGAGCATTTTTGCTAATTGTAACTTTATTAGAAAAGGAATTTTTGAGTGTGCATCTCTGTGTGTGTACATGTATGTATATGTGTGTTTCAATGAGGGTAGGGGCTGCATTACATGTCTAAGTCACCAGTTAAAGTGGGGGAGGGAGGGAATGTCTGCCCTGGAACCATATAAGGCCCAGGAAATCATTTGGTCTGGCCCTGCCAAGGCATTAGGGGTAAGTTAATTAAATGTTTGACCAAATATAGCAGGCTAATTTTTAAAAAATCTATTTTTATTGATTTCAGAGAGGAAGGGAGAGGGAGAGAGATAGAAGCATCAGTAATAAAAGAGAATCATAATCATCTGCCTCCTGCACACTCCCTACTGGGCACCAAACCCACAACCCGGGCATGTGCCCTGACTGGGAATTGAACCATAACCCCCTGGTTCATAGGTCGTTGCTCAACCACCAAGCCTCACAGGCTGGGCATCAGGCTAATTTTTTAGTTGATAATTTTGTCTGGCTTGTGAATAATGTTATAATTATCCAAATAGCCCTTAACAGAAAAAAGGTTCTCCACCACTGATTTAGAGGGTGGCAGTAGAGAAGGAGAACAGACATTATATATGTTGTGTTCAGGCACTTATCAGGTAACTGATGTAATCCTTACTTTACCAGTGAAGAACTAGGCATAGAGTTATGACATAAGATGCCCAGCGTCTAATGGCACTTGAACCCAGATCCATCTGGTTCCTAGGCCCCTTCTCAACCAGGTTATGACTTGCTTTGGTGGGTGGATATGGCAGAATGAAGGGACTGAAAAATCGGGTATTTTGTAAGAACAGAGTTGAAGTGACTGAGTAATAAATTAAAATAGGTTGGATGAGAATAATAATCAAGTGTAGCTGGAAGAGGGCTTAAAGAAGTTAGTGATGTGAAGAGTCAAGTTTTAACATTTATTTTACCTTCCCACCCCTTGTTTTAATGTTTACTTTCCTGAACATTGTTTGGATCACAAATTTTTGTTTCTTTACAGTAGGATGCTTTTCTGTGGAACTAATCATTCAATTTAAGTATATTGATGGTATGTTTAGTCCAGAAACTCACTTTCTGTTTCTTGTTCATCCCCACCTGCTTCATCTAAATTTTGTTCATTTCCTAGTTTTCAAGTAGCATATTTTTTTTAAAAAAACACAACAACTCTGTTCAGCCTTGGCTGGTTTGGTTCAGTTGATAGAGTGTTGGCCTGTGGACTGAAGGGTCCTGGGTTTGATTCCAGTCAAGGGCACATGCCTGGGTTGT